ATTTTGTAAAAAATAGTTCATCTCTGATCTTTTTGTAGAATAGATTGATTTACATAATCACTTTGGTCATTGAGTGGATGAAAATAAATTATAGCAAGTCAATTCAGAACAAGTCCCACGTCAAATTCCACATTAAACACCAAAAAAACCCCTATGATTTGCTCTAACTTAAGGTTGCTAACCTATCAAAAATTAAAACTATGGTTTAAATCTAAGTTTAGGTGTTCTCCGAGATATTCAACAAGAATTGGCTCATTGGTTCTCCCAGGTTTTACCCTTTTCTATATCAAGAAACTAGGGAGTCTCTTTTAGACATTTGCCGTATCCTCATCCCTTCTGGAGGCTCAGCTGCTGTTTGTCCATTGTCTAGCCCACTGTTCCTCCTATCTTCCAAGGAGATTCCCATGTACCTTTACAGGGTCCTTGAGCTCTTTCCACACCATCCCTACTGTTGATCTTTTTTTTCACAGACTTGAAAGACCCTGTTGTTTAGGACCACCATCTACTCTTTTACAAAGCAAATTCTTCTCTGCAATTTTATGCAGGGTGCAGAGTGAAAAAAACTCATGTGCTGGGCTTTCTTATTGTTTCTGCGGCCAGCAGAATGGCCAGGATGCATGGTACATTAAATTCACTGTCTGACTATGTCAGTAGACTTTTGAATGAGGTATATATCATTTATTCTATAGATTAAAGTTAAGGAGCTTTGGTTGATAGCTGTTTTTCCACTGAATCTTTAAGATAAATTTTCTCTTTCCTTCCAAATAAATGGTACAGAAGACTCAGAGAAAAACAAGCAAAATGACTGCTAAGAATAGGAGTGGGAATGGAACAAAGTGAACATTATATGAAATTAACAGCCTACATCAGAAATAGAAAGGTTCTTGAAAATTAGCTTACTTGAATACTAGGATATTGATTACTGTGAAAAATAATGTTAGTTGAGAAAAGGGCAAGCAAAAATAGGAATTTCATTTTGTTTTTCCTTTTTATAGAATGCATTCTGAGCTTCTTACTAATACTGCTAGAATATAATTAGAAGTGATGTTGAATATGTATTGTACAAAGGATTGTCAAGCAATAATAACACACTATATACCCTTTTAATTGTAATGCCTGTTATTTTCATTCACAGAGCACCATTTCCTTCAAATTTAGCTTCTGCCACTTTTCAACTTTGCTGCCCCAAGCAACTGTCTTTAAAAGTAATGGCTTGTTTATTCACTCATGCCCTAAGCTGAAAAACTCACTATAAATTAGCAAAATACATGTGAGCATAGACAGAGCTCCAGCAATTTATGTCTGAACTGTCCTATCAAACCTCACAAATTGAGAGGTAATTATAAATTAGTATCTAGTATATATAGCATAGAAAAAAGTTAGGAATTAATGACCACTCCTAAACATGGTGGTACCATGTTAGAGAACCATGGTGGAGCAGTGGTTAGAATGCAGAATTTCAGGCTAATTCTGCTAATTACCAGCAGTCTGGTCCTCACTGGCTCAAATTTGACTCAGTTTTCCATCCTTCCGAGGTCAGTAAAATGAGAAGCCAGGTTGCTGGGAGCAAAATGCTGAGTCCGTAAACAGCTTAAAGACGGCTATAAAGCAATATGAAGAGGTATATGTCTGAATGCTATTGCTATTGCTAGTACAACCAAGCAAATTAAAATCCAAATGAAGGTAAGAATTAGTTTGGAAGCACTGCCCACTCATCCATCCTGAAGCCACACACATTTGTTTGTAATGAATCTTTATTTGGTACTACTAAACTTCTGTTCTGATTCAGATGATCTCAGAGCCTCACAAAATTCTGGACAATTGTTCACATCAGCTGTTTTGAACAATGCTAAGCAACCAGTTTTCAAATGCATTTATTATTATTATTTTTTTAAAAATAAAGAGAAGCTTTCACATTATTTTTTCAATTCAGAAAAATATGGTACGAATGCTTTGGAATGTGCATAGAGAAACTGTGTTCAGTAGTTGAAGAATGAGTAGGAGCTGTCACTGATCCCAGAATAAACTGTGTTGCAAAACAAAGCTCTACTGAGAGCTCCCGGTTATGAATAGCTGAAAGAAGAATACATTAAAAAAAAAAACTTTAATCCCAAGAGCTATTTTTTGTCAGACTGGAAAATAAACATATTGTCAAATATACTCCTCGCAACTTCTCTGAATATTATTATTTTCATTTTAAAAAATAGCAATAACCACATTTTCATAAAACCTTGTTCTCAAGGAATGCTAACTTTTAAAAAAAAGCTAAAAAATTTTCTACATTACAATCAAATTTTGACTGTTCTTTGATGAGTATTTCTGTTCTGCCATTTCATGAGATCATGTTTGTTTTGGGGTGTCTCAGAAGCACTATTAAATAAAAGCATTCAGTACTTAAATCAAGAGGGAACATAAGAATAGCATTCATTCATTACACATATTCAGCAATTCTTCCATCCTAGTAGCCGCTTTACTTTAAATATTCATAAGTTGAACTGCTTCTAATGCAATTGTGAAGGTGAGAAATTTGTGCAAGCCCATTTTTTTACATCATTTCCTGAGATTTGAAAACTTCTGCCACTTTCATATTTATTTGCCTGAAGATCATCCATCAATGGTTTTTGTTCAAATCTCTACCACCTTTTGTTCCTTTAATGAGTTGACACATGATAGCTGGGAAAGATCCGTTCTCCAAAGCACCTGAGGGCAGGACAAAAAGCAATGGGTGAAAGGTCATTAGAGAGTATTCCAACCAAAATCTAAGGAATCATTGTATAAGTTTTTCTAAGGAGAAACTTCCTGACAGTAGAACAATTAATCAATTGAACCAGCTTGCTTCCTGGAGTTATGTGTGTTCCATTGCTGGTGGTTTTCTATAGAATAGACTGGACAACCATTTGTCCAAGATGAATAACGACTCCTGCCTTGGGCGGGGAAGTGGCGAGAAGACCTCCAAGGTCCCTTCAAGCCCTACAATTCTATGATTCTATATACAGTGTTGTTCAATGTATTAAATTTTGTACAGTGCTCCAGATTTTATGGAAGTCTTGGTGTAGATATGTGTCCAGCTATCCTCAGAACACTGATTGTGGGGCTCATATGGCATATTTCAGTCTCTGGGAGCTGCTTGCAGTTCTTTTCCTTTCAGCTTCTTGAAAGAGTAAGAACAAACAGGTGAGAAAAACATCACTATATCTAGGAACAGGCAGATAGGTTGTCAGCACAAACATATAACAGAAGCTCCAATAAGGGCATCTTTAGCCTCTAAAGAAACAATGGAAATAGAGGTAATATTTTTTAATGAGACAATATTGTTTCAAGGGTAGATGTACTTTAAAAACACTCAAATATTGGTAGAATGTGGGCACGAATGCTTTTAAAGTGACAGTGCTCATATTATTTCACTGCTGTTGCCAATTTATGAACAGTGCTTTCTGTGGTTATGTTAAATGTATTGGGAAAAATTAAACTGTATACTTCTTTTCAAGATTTACACTCTGCTTACAAAACAATCAGGAGTCCATGAGGACCAAAATGGTAGATAAATTGCTGAAATCAAATAAATCAACAACATAAAGTCCAGTTATCCTGCAAATAAAAAAAACAGTAATACAAAAGATTTCAAAGACATACCAACATTACAAACTTTTGATTATGATAATTTAAATTTGTAAAGTGTGTGCATGCTGAAGTTAACATCACAACTAAAAGAGATTCTTAACACTATCAAGCAGACTTCAGTTTACTAGATTCTTTGAACTGTGAGCAAAATCTGCTTAATCCCCCCCCCCCCCCAATAAATAAATAAATAAAATTGTTGACATCAGTCTGGAGTGAATCACTGGAAGGTGATTTCTTAACCACCAATATATAAAATTAAAATATAGCTGTGCCAATGCACTGGACAGGTGCCAGCTCTAGCTTCTGTTTTACACATTATAACCTCTACTGATTTGATTGCCTTTAGCCATCTCATAGTCATTCATAAACAACTATAACAATCTGGACATGAATTGGGATATGCAAAGACAGCAGTAGCAAAGGACTATTGCTATTGACATGATCATCTTTATAAAAACATTTAGAATAGAATAAAATTCTTTATTGGCCAAGTGTGATTGGACATACAAAGAATTTATCTTCGGTGCATAAGTCCTCAGTGTACATAATCCCAAACTATCTAGAAAGTCAACTTCAGTCCAGCACAGTTGAAAGAGAATTGTGTCATCTGACCTAGAGGACTACATTTTAAATGTACACATTTAAAATTTAAAATGTGCTAGATTATGAAATTGTACCTGTATAACTAAAAATATTATAGTGCAGCTTGTAAAAAGCAGTCTAATATCTGAATCCATAGAAGAGCACCCCAGTGTTAAGACATATTTTTTCCTATCCTCATTTCAAAATGTTTGAAATAAGCAATGATATTTTAAGAAAAAACCCCACAAATAAATTATTTAATGGCAAGTGCAAAATATTCCATAGGGAAAACAGATCATTTATTTGGTACATGGCATTTTTTGAATGTTAAATAAACTGTTCCAGAAAATGGAGCAGCTATCAATGAATTATTACGAACTACAAAAAAGTAGTAATTATGTCCTATGTTCAAGGAGTTGATAGACATTTGAAATAGATCATAGTGAATCAAGCATTTGAAATATGAAAAGAAGTTATGTTTGTGATCTTAGGCATGCTGGTTTTAAGATATGTGAAAAAATTAACATCAGATGAGTTTTATATTTCTTTGAAAGGACCAAAAATGCCAAAATTAAGAATTAAAAAAAACACTCCAGTTTTTTTAAGTTGCTGAAAATCAAATTATCAAATCCTTGGATTCTGAAGAATGGAAAGCACATAATTTTAACCTCTTTGTTTTTATGAAAGAAAACTCTTAATTCTACATAAGGTTAAAGAATTTGTTTTTAATCACAGACAGAAACATTATGATTACAAAATGGATGGTTAAATTTAAAACCACCATACATACAATTCTAGTTGGGAATTTTTTGCCCACCATCATCATTGCCACCACTGCTGGCAGATTGGTAGCTCAAACCATGTCCATACTTGCTCATGTGACTGAAAAGTGAATTCCTGAAGTATGAGTGATGCTGCACAGTCTGGGTCAGTGAGACAGGTTGGATTCTCACAGCAAACCCATAATTTTCTCCCCATGACCTCTAGGATACTACATCAGGAATCCCAACAAGTCTGCAGCTTTCTGTCCAGAGTCTTTTCTGCAACTCAACATCATAAGTGACATCAGCAGATTTTGTCCTTTGCTCGTTGTAAAGGTAGCATCCACCAACTCCTTCCAGTTCTGGTGAAACTGCTGCATAGGTTGATGTAGATGCACCTTCTTCTGGAGTCTGTGGATTGGAGAATTAAACACAATTAAAAATTGAAAATAAAGAATGTGAAAAATTAAGGTGAAATCAGGAACTCCTTTTATGTTTTCTGCATATGTAATTAAGAATTATTCTTATTTCTATGCCATTACCTAGCAATTGAGAGAGAAAATAAATAAGAATGATGCTGACCACACCACTTATTTCTAAAGAAGTGAGTTTAGAAAGAAAAAAAACCATAAGAGACAAAAAGGATCTCAAATGTATGATTAAAGTGGCATGACGGGAAAAATTACAAGATTACAGGGGCCATTCAAAAACAAGGATGAACAATTATTATGTCATTAATAAATTCCTTTATTTGGGATGCTTTTCTATTTATTAGCAACAACAGCCGGACCTTAAAGACTAACTTTCAGTCATTGTAGAACAACTTATTTTCAGGTAAGGTTTCACGGATGTTTTGAAAATCTAAACCCTTTGCAAATGTCAGCCTCCACTTTTTGCTTAAATATGCAAGTGGAAATAATTGGAGGTCATTGCATATCTGAAGATACACTGAAAAGACAGGCCTCTTTACTAAAATGGATTTGGTTCAAGATTTTTCAGTCTCTATGCAGCAGCAACATTATACATTACTGCAAATCATCCTTGCTTCAGAAACAGAATTAATGCATTTCTGAAAGCAAGAAATGATACTGCAGTCTCTAGTGTAATTAGTTCTTTTACCAAGATGACAAGTTCTGTAATCAGCCACAAACAGATGAAAGTGTAAGTTATATGTGTAATGCATTTTGTTCAGTTACAACACACAAGCCAGGGATGATGAAAACAAGAGTGCCAGCAGATTGTGCCATTTAATCCAGAACAGCAAGGTAAAATCAGAGGATTTAATTTTAGTCAAAGAATTATCATCGAAATGCTTGACTTTCAAGGTGAAAACTAGTATGTGTCAGAAGAACACATTCAAATCAAATTGGTGGAATATTATTTGCTTCACATGTAAGTTTAATGGAAGTATTATTAAAATATTCTTAGTTTTTTAAATGATGCATTTAAACTTTTTTATGTATTATTACATTCTAACTGATGTCAATGGGCTGTCATGAATAATTAGACCAAAGCTGGAGTTTTAATTTGCTGACACTGAAAATGTAATGGAAACTTACTCTACGGATTTTACTGAAACTTATAACCATCTGAAACAGTAAACAAAAACAAATCAACTTTACTTTTTTTATTATGAAAACTACAACATAAAATCAGATTGTACATTTAGACCTTGTGAATTAAAAGGCAGAAGTGGAAAAATAAAACTATAGCCTTCAAAAAGCAGTTGTAATCATGTCTGTGCAGATTCTGGGTCGTCCAGGTCATGGTTGTCCCAAAGGTGCTTTTTTCAAGAGGCAACTGCACTTTCTGGCTTTTCTTTGAAGACGTTTCGCTTCTCATCCAAGAAAAAGCTTGTTCCGCTCTGAAGAAGCTTCTTGGATGAGAAATGAAACATCTTCAAAGAAAAACCAGAAAGTCCAGTTGCCTCTTGAAAAAAGCACCTTTGGAATAGTTGTAATAATGAATTTAGTAACATATGTCAGCACTAAAACTATTCATATATACTTTCTCCAAGACTTTTGGGAGAATTTTACACAATAATCTGCTTCCATTCTATTTTGATCTCCATATATGAGGTTTTAAGCAAGCATTGGTTACTGAAGTTAACTGAAGCGATATGTTTTCTAAACTCAGCAAGTGCACAATTTTGATACATTTTATTGGTCAATCTGAACAATGTGAATGTCTCCTACCTATTCTCACAGAGCAATAGATGCCTCATGAACAACAGACTATTATTTTACCTGACCAATATTCTTTTTCTGAATATAGTTTATCCTGTTGTTTTCACCCAATCAAATCCACATCCTAACTAGTAGTCCCACATTCCATGTTTATTTAATAAAACTGTGGAGAGTCCTGGAGACAGCTTTGAAGAAAATAAGCAGAAGCTGTTATGCAAGTAAACAAGGAAACAACAAGAAGCAAACCCCGGGAATGCACACAGCATTAGCAAGAGGCTTAGGTTGATTCTTTTCTGACTCAATGGGGAATAAGAGAAAGGGAAGAGAAAACACATATATTTTGCAATATCTATTCAATATTTCCCATCTCGATAAGTATAATTATTGTATTTCTGTGGAGTTGATCTATCTCTTTGTATTGGTAAAAAAAAACTCCTTTCCACAATAAATACGAACAACTTCAGATAACACTGAATACTGTATATTGTATAGCAATTCCTAATAAGGCTACATGATACTTCTCAGAAGTGAGCTCACACAGCAAGCAAAGGCAAACAGAACTTGGTAGAGAAATGATGAGAACCCAAATCAAGAATTCATGACTAAAGAGTAATACACTGTGAGAGATTGTTGCATCTTCAAATTGTTTATATGAAAATATTATGTCTTGAATAATTGCAAGTTGTATGTTCTCAAAGAGGCTGGTTGACAGTGGGATTGCTTCTTGTTGAGCAAGGCAAGGCTGCTGTAGAAATTTTTAGAGGAATATAAGGCAAACAGTTTTCAAAGTGAAAAAATAGGGAAAACCCTTAGGATTCAACCCAGGAATCTTTGCCAATATAATAAATAGTTCAGGATGATGAAAGGTATAGCTCTAAGAACTGGCAAATCATTTAGAGCAAAAATTTATATTATCAAAGTCTTAATCCCATGCCCACGTATCTACCATAATCATCAGCCAATACCAGTTCTGGTTATAATTGGGGGTTACAATTCCATTTTTAAAATGCTCTCAGTGAAATAAATTTACACAAATATTTGCAGATTAAATAGTGCATAGACTTTTTCCAAAAATGCTTTTCTTGATAACTTGATTCATTTTTTAAAATAATGAAATCTAATTTTTTGAGGAGTGTTTGTTCCATTTATATTCCATGTTAGGCATTTAAAATCCATTTTATGTCAAAAATTTAATCTGGTGTGATGGCCTCTTCATCAGCTCCTTGTAATTGCGTAGATTGCCAGAGCCCTTTTTCACTTCCATTTGCATATCTTCCAGTTTGTCTTTAAAATGTTTTATAAATTAGTTTGCTTTTGATTGAATTTAGTATGAGTATCCGTTGTTTAAAAGAGAAAATCATTCCTTCCAATTTATCCCATTAAAATAATTTTTTTGTTTAAGCTTGTCAATCAAAAAGAAGTGCTCTTTTTATTTGTGCAGAATTCTAATTCGAATATTTTTAAATATAATCATATCTGCGTTATTAATTTCAGTCTCAATACTGAGGCAAAACTTGTTACCTGTTCTTTCTGACACAATCTATAAGAATATATCTTGGTACATTTCTGAGTTTTGCAAACTGTCTATTTATTCTATAGAGTTTGTCGATTTCTGCCCTTCATGTCATCTTGATTCCATTAAAAAAAAGGTTGACCAAAATTTTCTCCAGGATCCTTTGGAACTGTTCTAAATATCAGGAAGAATTATTTTTCCCTTAATTCCAATAACACCAACTTGTCTAAGTGTTTTTCCTTCTCTCCATTTATTCCGTTTTATTTTTAAAAATTTCCACTTTGTCATTAATTTGTTTCTCCAGGAAGACCTTCTATTGATGTTCTATCAAACAAATGAACCAGCAAACATGTGGAAAACTCTTTAAAACATCACCGGCTAGAGCAAACCTCCTTCTCAGGCAGACCGAAATCGACAACTAGCAGATAACCTGAATGTATTTTACTGCAGGTTTGAAAGGAAACTACAGCCACCTATCTCCACAACCCCATCTCAAACACACCAACAACAGCCAAGCCTCCTACAACTGACCCCAACCCATTGGGTTCACAACCTCTGGTGATCACAGAAAAAGAAGTGCAAGATTTATTTCACAGACAAAAGCCAGGAAAAGCACTAGGGCCAGACGAGATAACTCCTTCTTCCTTAAAAGTCTGTGCTAACCAGTTGACCCCCACCTTCACCCGGAATCTTCAATAAATCACTAGATATGTGCTATGTTTTTTCTTGCTTCAAACTCTCTACTATCATCCCAGTGCCAAAGAAGCCCTCCATCAGGGAACTGAAGGCTCTAACATCTGTAGTTATGAAAACCTTTGAAAGGCTAGTGCTGTCCCACCTGAAAACAATCACAGATCCGCTGTTAGATCCTATGCAGTTTGCATACTGAGCAAATAGATCAACAGATGATGCTGTTAATATGGTTCTGCGCTTCATCCTACAACACCTTGAATCTTCAAATACCTACACAAGGGTCCTCTTTGTAGACTTCAGTTCAGCATTCAATACATCATTCCAGACATTCTTCTAACTAAACTAAACCAGCTAGCAGTACCTGAACACACTTGTAAGTGGATTATAAGCTTCCTAACAGACAGGAAGCAGCAGGTGAAGCTAGGCAGAATCACATCTGACACCTGTACAATTAGCACAGCCCCCCCCCCCCCCCGCAAGGCTGTATGCTTTCTCTACTTCTCTTTTCCCTATATACCAATGACTGCATCTCAAACGATCCATCTGGTAAAATACTGAAGATTTCAGATGACATAACAGTGACTGGTTTCATTCGAGACAAGAACGAATCCACATAAGACAGGAGGTTGTACAACTTGTCTTGTGGTGTAACCAGAACAATCTGGAACTGAACACACTCAAAACCGTAGAAATGGTGGTAGACTTTAGGAGAAACCTTCCCATACTACCACCTCTTACAATACTAGACAACACAGTATCAACAGTAGAGACCTTCAAATTTCTAGTTTCTATCATAACACAAGACCTAAAATAAACACCTAACATCAAAAATGTCATCAAAAAAGCACAACAAAGAATGTTCTTACTGTGTCAACTCAGAAAGCTCAAACTGCCCAAGGAGCTGCTGATACAGTTCTACAGAGGAATTATTGAGTCTGTCATCTGCACCTCTATAGCTGTCTGATTTGGTTCTGAAACCAACAAGACAGACACAGACTTCAGAGAGTAATTAACACTGC